CTGAAAGGAATGCCCTTTTCCTCAGAAGCCACTCCCTTCTCCCTCACCCCTGGCAATGTCCTGCTGGTATAGAAAAACATCAGGGTCCTAAACACACCCCTTCAACAATGTCTCCTTCCAGCTGCCACAAAAAAAAAATTAACCTTGTCCTGGTCAAAACCAGAAGAAGAGGGAAGAGAAGATGCATTGATGTATGTTCATGAAGAAGAACATGCATAGTACGAGCACCAGTGGTGCAAATTTCATTGTGAAACCTCGCCAGTTCTTCTGAACTCTGATTTGAAAAGGTTTTATTGAATGCTAAGCTTTTTGTCTCTTTGCTGAAAATATAAAATGCTGATAATTACATAATTATTATTGGAATTACAGCTGGTTATTAGTATTAACCAACTAAGTAGTTCTGTATTTGAATTATGTTTTCTAATTGTATGTTATTATCAGTTGCTTTATGACAGCATGACAAAGTACTTGAGTGACACGGTTCTGAACTGTGTATAAAGGGGAATTCTATTTACATAAAAATAACAGCCGTTTATTAACAAAAACAATGAAAATATATTTTTACAGTTGAAATATACTAAGATTACTTATTTTAATTGAATTAGTATTCTGTCTTCAGTATTTCCTACAGATAAGTCATTCCTGAAAATAGTACAAATAACATGCTTTTACTCAGGTTTGCTTTCCAAAGCAGGCTAAAGGAGAAGTTTTCAAATTGCTTTTTAAAAATATAGCTGTCTTAAGTGAATATTTCAGAGCTGTCAGAATAGCTTTTTGAACTTGATGCCCAAGCTAACCTCAGTCCAACAGTAGCATCAGTGAAAGACAGTTTTTCAATGTCTTTCATTAATCAATATTAATATAAAAATCTCCTGGACCTGAGACACTCAAATGACAGAGACCAGTTTCTAAGTCTTGCATGGAAAAAGGTGCACTAGAGCTAGGGAAATGTTCTGTCATGGTTATGTATTTTTAGAGGACAATTATGAGTGTGAAGAACATACAGGTCTTTCACGGGCAGAGCTCATATGTATTGCTACAGCATGAGTTTCATGCCTTACATGCAACACATACAATGTCTGAACACATGGGAAATCTCACATGGTCAAAAATCCACATTGTTACTGGTTGTTCATGAGTTTGATCTATCATTTAAAATCTGTGAAAAATCTTTTGGCAGCTAATTAGCATTCAGTATCTGGTTTAAATCAGCAGAGAGGCAAGAAGTAATTGGATTTAAATGGATTCCAGTAAAATAGATGATGACAATTAGAAAATACTTCTAAATAACAAACTATCATGATAGAGCTTGATCTATAAAGAATGTGCTGATTGTGTTGGCCCTTGGATAGGAACAGCAAGAAATTCCACTTCCAATTAAGTGTTTTATTTTTGTAGTAGCTTGTTTATTATGGTACTGCTGACCTGATGCAAATAAGACATTTTCATGGCCCATTTAAAAGATGTAAGAATTTTCATTCTGAAACTCAATTGCCATTTTATCTGCACTGTAGGTTGCCAGTATTTCTTACTGTTAGTCACTGTCTGCTGCTTCCTTGTAAAATAATACAAAGATAACATTTACTGAAGTCATTGTGCATTCTGCAAGTTTCTTGCTTCTCCTAATACAACTACCTCATGTACATGCAAGTGTCTAAGTCACCACTTCATTCTTGATGCCTGTTTAGAATGCTCCTACACAACCAGTTTCATGGTTCTTCCACTGATAAATCACATTTCTCATCATAGTATTAAACACCTGTTCTTCTTCTTCTATGAGTCTATCTTGAATCTTGACAGACTTCACAACACAGCTATGAGGTCTGTCTGTCTAAGGCTTTCCTTTCAGCCCACCTTTCTAAAACATCCCAGACTTATTAAAAAGATTTCTCTATTACTTCTCCAGACAGATCTGAGATTATTTTCCTATGTGATTTCAGCTCGTGAACACAGAAGTCAGTAATATTGAAAGTTGATTCTCCCAAAAGAAACAGTCCAACAGTATCAGTTCTGAAAGGATTTCTGCTGTAATAGTAGGACTTTCTCTTAAAACTCATGGAATGTTATATTAGAGAGAAAAACTTAATCTTTTACAAACCATTCAGTTGTCTAGTTGTCTTCATTGCCTATTTACTGTGACCAAAGCAATTTTTAGCAGTATTAATAATGCTCAAAAACAACAGAACTGTTTTCTGTCAGGAAAAAATAGTTCATGCAGGGAACAATACTGTGCTGGGAGATGTCCCCTGTGGAATTTCTGCAGGGCTGAAAACAATCACAAAACTCATAGGCTTTTTGCTGAAATGCATAATGGATTTTGACCTCACCTCATTAAACAGCAGTACATAATACATTATGTATAAAACCCTCAACTCACAAAATAAACATTTTACAACAGGGTAAAAATGGAACAGAGAAGAACAGGAATCAGAAAAATCCTACCTTGTTGTTCAATTACATGCTTTTGGAAATAATTCTAATTGAAATGTCTAAAACATATAGGCACACATGTATGAGAAATTATCCCAGGCTCTCTTTCTTTCCCTTTTGATGGAGAGAAGGTAAGCAGTTCATTTGATGTCTAAAGTTCACATCTAACATAAGTCAGATAAATAATTCCCAGCAGAGAGACCTATCTCCATTAACCATAAAGGGAGTCCAGGTTGACTGGCTCAGATATTCAGGGCTAAATTGTTCGTATCTAACGTTGTGAGATGAATTCTAACCTCAGAGACCACTGTAATGAGGCTGCATTAGAACATGAAGATGTGACAATTAATTAACTCTGTGGCAAATGGTCTCTACTGCAGAATTTACCTTGCAGGTGCAGGGGACAGCAGCACAAGGAACAGGCAAAGCTTTGTGAAGGGGCCGTGGAAGAGATGCAAACAAATTCACGTGCAAGCAGTCACCACGTAGAAACTGGCAACACCCTGACTGCTCAGCCGTGTCCAGCAGGACCAGAAAGGATCCCTCCTTGCCCATCACCCCCTGCACCCTCTGAGGTTGTGTAGGATAACCTCGGAGTCCTATCCATGCCCCTCCTGGCTACTGCAAATATTAACCAAGTCCTGGCCAGAGCCAGGACACAGCTGTGCTACTCATGGGCAAGAACTGCACAGCTTATTTCTCAAAGTTTGTCTCTGGTTGTTACCAGATAAGAGTTTCTGCATCCTGTACTGTAAGATATGTGTGGAGAAGAAATCTGTGTGGAAGTAAGGGTAAAGGTTTGTCTTAGCATCTTATGGAACCGTTATATGTATAAATGTCCCAATATCTCATGGCAGAGCACGGTAGCAGAGATTTCAGATAAGGGGCAACCTCTGTGTGAGTAATGTGGTTTACTATACAATAATTAGGTAGAAAACAGGAAAAAAATAGTATCAACTTATATTTAAACAGCATTCTGCAATCAGTACTATGTGGTTGAGTAATACACATAACTAAAATGCATAATCTGATATTTTTAAACAAGCACAGTTGATGTGGTGAATATTAAGTAGCATCTTGTAAATCTTGTAAATAGTTTTCACTAATATTAAGCCAAGTTATTTCAGAATATTAATTCCTCAGTAATAAATTGTTATAGTATTTTCAGCAATGAAAATATTTATAAATGTAGTCTATGAGCAACTGAGACTGATAGCAGAAAAAACATAATTACAATATTATACCATGTCTGTAAGCAAAGTTACATGATGAACTGCAAATTATTTGGTCTAATTTTTGAATATAAATAAACAAGAAATTATTTTTTTTCGTGGAAGTGCAGAATTGAGTACTGCATATATGCAAGGGGCTAATGCATGGGCTTCTGTTCAGTTGTAAATGATATGGCATTCTCTGTCTTGCTAGGAAGCTACAGGAAAAAAGATGACATCTTTTAAAGATGAGGGTTAGAACTGAGAGCCACAAGCATGTTACAGACACAGGATGGCTCTGCAGGAAACTTGAACAGAGGCAAGGATGTCATTTGATCATGTTTTGAAAGCTGTGTGAGCAGAGCATGGCGATCTCATTGATAGGAGAAAATTCGGAATTGAGAGTAGACCTTATGTGAAACCTTTCTGAAGGCACTCTCATTTTGGGAGCATTACATTATAGGAAAGTGGACCAGTTTTTGGATGTAAGATGCCTGTGGACATACATGGATCATGGGAAGGGCTTGAATTTACAATACCTGTTTTGTTTTTGACATCCATGATTGGGGTCATTTTTTTGCTTTATCTAGTGTAATGCTGTATTTAGTGTAAATGAGACAGATGTTGCCCACTGTTGTTCTTGATATTAAGCTAAAGCTTCTGAGTTTTTATTCTTTTGGCCAAAATTGTAAGCTTTAATGAATGGTTTTGAATTGCTGGTGATTTCTGTGCTGTAGAAGTGGAAGTTAGCGAATATTCTCTATGTTTTAAGGAAGTGCAACCTTGTAGGATTCCTTTAAATTTAAACAATGGTTCTTTAAGAACTATAGCATAAAGAGAAAAAAAAACAGTAGGCAATGCTTTTAATTTTGATATATCTTTAAATATGAATATCTAATTAATTGAGAAATCATTATTTCCTATAAATCATAAAGAATAATTTCATTTCTTTACATACATGTTCTGAAGCCTAATATATATTGCCATTCCAACTGATACATACTTGTGAGCTGTAGATTATGATATGATCCCATTAATTATTTTATGATGGGAAAATTAGAATATTATGACAAATGGAAGGAAAGTTTTGCTATTCTTTATAGGATGAAATAAACTTAAGCCTCCTGAAAACAGCAGTTAATGCAGTTCATATCTTAAAAGGTCATGTTGTGTGTATGAAAAACTTAAGATGTAAGTTGTACAGGGCATGATGAAAATGCTTCCCAGGTAAAACTTTATAAGAGTTTCTGGTTTCTAGCTATTACAATGATATCTTCTTTTTTTTTTTTTAGTTTTATATAAATATTGTCAGTTAAATTAAGCAGCTAAGCAGTCCCTCTCTCTTTTTTCTCTACATAGCAGATGGTACGTGAACAATACACGACAACGACACCAGGCACGAGCCTCGAAAGGCCGAAGAATGAATACATCTACAAAATTGGAATTTATGGCTGGAGAAAGCGTTGTCTCTACCTGTTTGTTCTCCTCCTGCTTATCATCCTAGTTGTGAATTTTTCTTTGACAATTTGGATTCTTAAAGTGATGTGGTTTTCTCCAGTAAGTGTCCTCTTTAATTTTTCATTCTTGTCTTCTCCTCCCTGCCTCACCACTTCACTTACTATGTGTGTACACCAGCTTCTCTGTAGGTAATGGATGGTTCTTTTTTTCTTTCTTCTCAACTGTGATTTGTACTTTGGGTGAAAGTATGTTAGAAAAATCTGTCTTTGAATGTACTTCCTCATATGTAATTTCTGTACTAGTAATCGTTTTTGAAATACTGAGGCTGTTGATGCTTTAGATTGCAGTGAATTCTAACCATTTTATGAGAATGTATTTTACCATTGTCTCATAATATCTGTTTAGTTAATATTTTATAAATGTGTTTGCTGTAATTTTTTCTCATACAGAATTCCTTAGTTAAAATATTGTTGGCAGTTGCTGTGGTTTTTTAGCTTCTTTCTCCTATTTGTCAGCATCTAAAATTTAACAATTTATTTTCCCAGTTAATTACAGCTCAGAGGTAATTATCACTACTTCATGCTTGAGACTAAGCAGCTATATAATTCAGAATTAAATTTAATAACTTTTCACTATCGTATGTATTTTAATATTTATAATGTAATTTTGCATGTAGTAGATTAAAGGGTAGGTTTCAGAAGTCTGCAAGATATGACTTTAGTCAGAATGCAATAAACTGCATCAGTGAATATTGAAGCTAAGCTAATTTGCTCCTAACATGCAGTTGTGATACACAGATGATTTGAATAGACTTGTTACAAGAAAAACAATAATAATAAATTTCTAAAGCTCTGCTCTGGCTACTGAAGAAAGTTTCTCTTATCTATTGTTATTACACCTTTGTCACTAAGTGAAGAACTCTTTATCTTAATATAAATGTTTCTATATTCACTGAAAAGATGGTATGTTGATTTTAAGTCCTACTTACTAATACAGATTTTAGTGCTTGAATTCCTGTGAAGGGTCTTCCCCTACATGAATTCTTTGCAGCACTGTTACTGTCATACAGATTACAGTGCAAAACATCTTAGATCACATATAATTTTTCTCTTATGCAGCTCACATGGAAGATGTGCTTTTAGTGCCTGCATGTCATAAATCACAGAGAACATGAAAAATGTATAGTTGTTTTCTGTGTGGCTCAGGGTTCTATTTTTAAGGAGTTTTAAAAAATATTTTGTGTTGATTTGATTTCTACAGATGAGTCTGGGTATTTTCTTGTCTGATAGCAGTGAGGACTAAAAAAAAAAAATAACATTAGAAAGTCTACGTATAGGAATGCTTATCTCCATGTAGTTCCTGTGTGGAAGGCACCAAATGGCTTGATCTGCTGAGGGACAGTGTTCTTCTGCTTTTGGAACAAGACCAGTGCAGTAACAGCTCTAGCATTTCAGGTTTACATCCTTTCACAGAGTGGGCTGTGAATTCCTCATTCTGTGTTAAAGAATCTATGTGCCTGACACATCCAATTGAACAGTGACTTAACTGTAATGTCTTCATTAATTTGGGATAATTTTAGGGAAATACTGAAATTGAGATAAATATCAGCTGTAAATACATGTGTGCAGAGTGCATATGTATGTCACAATCCACAGCAAAAGTATACATGACGTCTTTAAGCAGAGAAGAACTTTTTTGCTGGTTGTTGTTTTAATGTAAGACTACATCTCTCAAGAAGTAACTCTGAGGATGCCAGAAATATCACCCAGAGAATCACAGAGAAGCACCACTAGCCACTGAGTCTAAGAAAGATAGTTAGTGCACATTCAAAGTCTGAGAGTATAATTGAAGCATCACAATCCTTTCCTGTGTCTAAGGAAATAAAAATTGTGAACAGTCATAAGAAATAATTAATACTGTCATAAAACATTAAGCATTTATGCCTCCAAGTATTTTGTTACTGTTTGAAAAAAGAGGTATCAATATAGTCAGAATTAGATTTTTATGATTCATGAGTTCCAACAAGTATTTGCTGTTTAGGAAATGAGTTGATTCATGTATATCACACTTACCCAATTAAGCATTCCCATGACTGGGAAGAGTTTAAAAGTAATTGTGAAATATTATCCTATGTAATCATCAGTTATTTAGCAAATATGAATCTATCAACTGTGATAAAAAATATATTTATTAATTGTGCTCTAGGTATATTGTGTAGATATTATATGACTTTAATATTCACAATAGATATCGTATTTTTAGCTAATATTTTAAACATTTTTAAATACATTTAAAAGCTATAAAAACAATTAAGATGACTCTTAACAATATTTAAATATTGATAGCTAATAAGATATTAAGAAGTTTTTTCTCTGTAAAATAATACAAGAAACAAGTTGTATGCTCACTAAGGCTGCTAAACATATTTGGGAAAAAAAGTTGCAAACATTTCAAAATATATTTTTATAGTAGAGTCCTGAAGAGAGTTTATGCTGAAGGAAAACTTTAAACATGACTCAGTACATAATTTTATTAGGAAAACAGTTTTTCAGTATTAGGGGCGTTGGTACTGTAGTGATTGATCGACATGGTTCTGTAGCACAGCCCTTTCATAAGCCCACTCAGAGCTGAAAAATTGGTTATTTAGACATCAAAGTTCCTTTTGTTGTATAAGAAGGGTTCTCTTTTTCTATAGAGCATCCTTGACTCTTTCATTAAGTAATAACCTGCAGTATACAAAAATCACATGCTGTCTCTGTTCAGAGATCCAGATTAAAATAATAATTAAATTATCAACAGAGCTTGAAGAAGCTCTGGCATTGAATTAATCCATGCACACATGTCCTGCCTTAACCCCCATAAAACCAGGCAGTGTGATAAGTACTAGCAAAGAAGCTAAGCTGATAAAGGAGAACATGAACCAGACATAGATATGCTGCAAGATGAATAGATTTTGATCTCCTTGTAAGAATTTGGAATGGTGAAAGATAGAAACTTTTCTAAGCTCTGTTGTTGGAGAAGCCTTTGGCATCAAATGTAGATTACTAAATTGAACAGAATTTCATTCATATTGTTTCATTCCATTTCATTTCATTATTTCATTTCAGCTAGACTAAAAGAGAAAAACCTGAAAAGAGATTATATCCTTTTTCTCATGCTGCCCCAATTAAAAAAACATATGGGCATTTCCAAATTGTGCACATTAATTGAAAGGTAGCAGCTGTGTCTCGTTCTTTTTTTTTTCCTTTTCTCTCTTGGAGTTCAGAGGGACAGGGTCTCATGTTTTTTTGTGGGGATGAGCAAAGAAACCTATGTATTCATTATATTCAGCTGTTTCAGAGAAGACATTCAAATAATTATGCCTTGAGCTTGGTGAACAAGGGGAAATAGAGTAATTTAAAAAGTAGCATTATTTTTGCATGAAAATCAATTTGAAAAAAGGTTGGATTTTTTCCCCTGGACAACATACAACATTTTGCATATAATGGAAATTTCAGATTCTCTTTTTAACATAATGAGGCTTTCTGAGCACTAAAGAGGACTGCTAGTTTTAAGATTTTAGAAAACTAAGAATCTCAAGGGATTTAGGGCTGCCAGGATCAGAAGTCCTGTGGACAATTCTGAAAGGTTCTGAAAGAGGGAAACTTTGATGTCTCTGATATGTGCTGGAAGGCAAGCGTGGCAAGATGGAAGCAGTGAAGATTTGTAGAGGGTTTCAGCAACAGCTTCTGGAGAGGACAATTAAAGGTGGCACACAGCTGGATCTGCTCCTCACAGGATCCCATGGGAGCCAGATGTGAAGGGTGAAGTTACCCAGAAAAGCTTGATCAAGTTTAAGGGCTGTATCCTCCAAATGTAGGAATGATCAGTCCTGATGCTGAGGAAGATAAATATCCTGGCTTAGCTAGGCAGGTTACTTGTGATGGAGCCTCAGTGAAAAAGCAGTATAGAAGACTTGGAAGCAGATAAAGGCTACAAAGAAGAAATTTTGAAGCAATGTCTGGGCCAGGAAATGTGTCAGGCTTTCTGTGTCGGGAAGGCCAAAGCTCAGCTTCAGTTAAGAATTACCAAGGGCAAGTGGCAACAAGGTGGTGTGCATCCATTGGTACAGAGAGAACTGATTCTCTTGCAGAGAGATGCAAGAATGCAGCATTTGTTTGCAGAATGCATACATTCTCTGCAATGTTTGAAAGGTTTTGGAGACTGGGGAAATCCGTGATGAGTGGGGGAATGCAAATGTTGCACTTGTCTTTGAAAAAATGGGTTTATTTACCAAGGGTGAATGATGCCAATCTGATTGCCATTTTAATATAAAATGTCTGGAATTGTAGATGATGGGAGGACACAAAATATCATTTACCTTGACTTCAGCAAAGCTTCTGACTCTCTCCCACAGTATTCCTGTACCTGTAAATTAAGATATTACAGCCATGAGGAGTGATCAAGCAGTATAAAAAGTAAAGTGCCTGGGTAGTCAGGCTCAGAAGGTAGATACTAATGTATTGTGATCTGCATGGAGGGCAGAAATAAACATTGCAGTTGTCTTGCCCTGTGTCTCGTCCTTTTCAAAAGCTTAATCAGCGACTTGGAGGAGGTGACAGAATGCTTGCTCACTAAATTAGCATGTTATGCCAGTTGAGGGGTACCATTCAATAATTCCAAGACTCAGGCTGGAGGTCACACTAGCTCTAGTCCAGCATTGTCATGCTAAAACTCAGGTATGAAAAATGCACCCGATCAGGTTATTACCATTCCTGGTTCTCTAGCAAATCTTTGTCAGAAACCCCTCATTAATTCAGTTATTATATTATTTAGGTTCTGCCACATTACCATAACACCAGGGACAGTTGTGTGCCAAAGACAATTTCTACATTTTTTTAGCCTCTGATGGAGAAACATATGGATTTTCCATGGATTTTAGTGGATGCCCCAGCTATCATGGTCTCCTGGAATAAGAAGGGAATTTGCACTGTATTTCAATTTGATAAGGAGAGATAGTAATGCAACTATAGTGTTCACCAGGATAACTAGCTGCCTTTCTTCAGTGTGGAGTTTCCTCTGACAGAAATTTTAAGCACAGTATAAGAGAAATAGGCAGG